AAGTCGCCAGTTCTCATCTTCCAGCTCCCCAGCTACTCCGCGTACTAAAGTTGTACTACAAAGTCGCCAGTTCTCAGTTCTCAGCTTCCAGCTCCACAGATTGCTCCGCGTACTAAAGTTGTACTACCAAGTCACCAGTTCTCAGCTTCCAGCTCCACAGCTACTCCGCGTACTAAAGTTGTACTACAAAGTCGCCAGTTCTCAGCTTCCAGCTCCACAGATTGCTCCGCGTACTAAAGTTGGACTAGAAAGTCGCCAGTTCTCAGCTTCCAGCTCCCCGGCTACTCCGCGTACTAAAGTTGTACTACAAAGTCGCCAGTTCTCAGCTCCCAGCTCCACAGATTTCTCCGCGTACTGAAGTTGTACTAGAAAGTCGCCAGTTCTCAGCTTCCAGCTCCCCAGCTACTCCGCGTACTAAAGTTGTACTACAAAGTCGCCAGTGCTCATCTTCCAGCTCTCCAGATACTCTGCGTACTAAAGTTGTACTACAAAGTCGCCAGTTCTCAGCCCCCAGCTCCACAGATTGCTCCGCGTACTAAAGTTGTACTAGAAAGTCGCCAGTTCTCAGCTTCCAGCTCCCCAGCTACTCTACGTACTAAAGTTGTACTACAAAGTCGCCAGTTCTCAGCTTCCAGCTCCACAGATTGCTTTCGCGCGCTCGACACGCACGATCTCCGCAGAGGGTTGCGCGCACAGCCGGCAAATCGCACTCTCGCCTGTATTTCGCGCACTCGACACGCACGATCTCCGCAGAGGGTTGCGCGCGCAGCCGGCAAATCGCACTCTCGCCTGCATTTCGCGCACTCGACACGCACGATCTCCGCAGAGGGTTGCGCGCGGACCGGACAAATCGCACTCTCGCCTGCATTTCGCGCACTCGACACGCACGATCTCCGCAGAGGGTTGCGCGCGCACCCGGCAAATCGCACCCTCGCCTGCATTTCGCGCACTCGACACGCACGATCTCCGCAGAGGGTTGCGCGCACAGCCGGCACATCGCACTCTCGCCTGCATTTCGCGCACTCGACACGCACGATCTCCGCAGAGGGTTGCACTTTCGGTTGACGCTGTTCGTCCCGCACTCCGCCTTTAAGAGAGAATTTATAAAGTGGGGAAATGTTTTTTCATTAGGACATCTCCCGTCCATACTCACACTTGCCTACTCATTGCATGCTTGCATAGTCATTGCATGCTTGCATACTCACCCTTGCATATCATGCTTGCATACTTACACTTGCATACTTTGACACTGGCATACTTCGCACTTGGATGCTTTCGCTCTTCCAGTGTGTGTGTGTGTGTGTAAGTGTGAGTGTCGAAGTGTAAGTGTCGAAGTGTCAGTGTTCAAAGGATTTTCCGGAAGAACCCTTCGCAATGCTTTCGGGAAAAAAATGATGCTTTGTTTTCTGACCTGGGTCCACAAAAATTCCAGAAACACGTCCATCCCCCAAAAAAGAAGATTTCCACAAACATATGAGTGTTGAGTCAACAGCCGATCTTGAATGGTCCTACAGAACTGGCCCAAACCTCGTTGTTTGCGTTGTTTTTTTTCTGTTGGGTTGCAGGGCAAATCCTCAAAACATGAGTGTTTGCAGATTGTTCTTCTGGTGTACTGTATGATGTTTTTTTGGCATCTTGGATGCACCTCCAAAACACACTTTGAGATGTGTGTTTGCTGAGACACCTTAGCTTCCACCCGTGGCAGTACCCTTGCAAGTTGCAAGCAATCCATCAAGACGAAAGTTGACAAGCGCATCAATGCGCACAAGTATTTTAGCATAACATAACCGCAAAAAGGTCCTTAAAAACAGCCAGAGCCTCCCGCTAAAAGGTGGTTCACCTGTCTGCAAGAATGTCTTGAACATTACTACCAGCAACTGACACTTCATTGGGCGGAGGCTTGACATTAGGGTGTCCAAAGTCCCCAATCGCTAAGTTATCATTGATTTAACTGCATATTACTGCACTACATCTACACTTCTTGGATTCCGTTCGGCTTTCGCACGCGATGCGAGAGAGGCGAGACGAATCCGTTCCGCCCGAGATCCACCGCGCCATCTCGTTCCAACAGTTCCTGATTCTCTTTGTTCTCACCGTTCCGCCTGAAACCACGCGGCATGCGGTGCCAAAAAAAAAACAGAAGAAGCCGGAAGGAACGGGCCAGGAAAAAGGCCCCAATGAACTAGGCAGTGATCACGGCTTTCTGTTTTGGGCCCACCCTCTAAAAACAATGTACCAAGCAAAACCAACCTCGCAAGGAGTATGACTCGTCACATCCCGCTATCTTTTTTGTTGTGCTCCATTTGCAGCAAACTCGAATGAACCAATTCAGGGTGAGGTACATAGCAATTTATAATTGCATGTCCCACTCCATTGAACAAAAACATGTCAAGCTCTTACTGTGCCCCAAACATGTTTTCGACCGTTGGATCGGAGCACGAGTTAAGCACGACGAGCACTTAAGCCGGCTTCCAGCGTTTGGAGTCCCGGTTTGGAGGCACCTGGTAGCTGTATGTGGCCAACTTCCACCACTGCTTCCAGGGTTCCCCGACTGTCCAGCCATGGAAGAGGCACCACAAGAGTCGACCTGCACGGAGAGAAGTGAAAGAAAACCAGTGAAAGCCAGATTCCAAGCCACTGAACTAGTAACTGGAGTGAATCTGTTCCAAACCAAGGCATACAATATCGGACGGTATAATATCCCGTTAGCAGGGCCCCAGTGGATGATGACGGTTAGGTCGGTGAGCTTGTAGGCCATTTATACATATATATATAGTCATCATCATTTACCGAGTGTTGCAGGTCATGCGGCATAGCCTATCCATCCATAAAACGTGCAATGCGGGGGGGCAGTAGATTCGGTAGATTTGAGCGGAAGAGATTCACTAGCGCCCTGCGTGGTGATCGAGTTTTCACCCTTGGACAGGGTGTCCATGGGCCAGTTGTCCTCTTCAATCACCAGACTCTTCCGTTGATCTCCACGAGATCATCACTTCTTCGAGACCCTTCATGCTTCCTGCTTGCTCACCAGGCTGCCGGGAGCGGCCAAGAAGAGACTCTTCCCGTTCCAAAGAGTGTCCAAAGGAGTAGGGCTCCAGTCGTACAACTGGGGTGGGTGCCAGGAGGGTCCAGTCATACCTTCTGAGGAGGTACGACTGGAGCCCTAGGGCCCAGGTCCCCACCTCCTGAAAACCTCACATTCGTCATGTTTCCCCTCGCAATACACTGCCACCGTACCTGAGGTTCGGTACGACTGGACCCTCCAAACAAATTGGTAAAAGTGTCTCCACACATCACCGGGGCCTTCATAGGACCTTCACAAAGGGTAGCAGTGGATCAATAGGGTTTCTACTGTGAGTCAAAACGCCCCCAAATCAGGGTAGGTTGACCTCCCAGGTAGTCTATTCTGTTCACTCTTGTTACTCTTAACTTGTTAAATCAGGGTGACCTGGTTGGTTTTGACTCTCACAGGGTGAAACGGGGCTCACGGGTGCGACCCACAGCCAGTTCCTGACCAGTACACATACAGATCATGCGGACCCCATGATGACCAACGCCATATGCCTATATGGATAGATGATCATAGAAACCTCAGTGGATCCATATGAGCCATGCCAAAAACCTCTATCCTATATTTGCACGGGAGTTTATGGCGCTGCTCATATGGTTTCTACATGGAGTCGATCCATGGAGTCTCCAGACCAACTAAGGCATTGGTCACTTCCATTACCTAACTGAGGCGGCACAGCACTTTGGCCCTGGCCGATCCCTGCCTGGGTACTTTGCACTGATCGATCCAGCCTCGGATTGGCGTGTACTAATGTGCAGGACGCAGGACAAATACGTCAAAGCCCCCATATCGAAGATATTCATGACCCTGTTAAAAGCTCGGCATCAGCATAGTCTATAGTTTACCAGAAACCTGCAAGAAGAAAAAACATGAGATCTCGCGGTGAGAGAGAGAGAGAGCACTCCATGCATGCCAATCCCGGCAGCCTCCGGTTTTTTCACTGTCATGGCGGTTTGCGAGACGTAGAATCATGATGGACACCTCGCCTGTTCTTCATTGAATGGTGGGGTGCCGATCCGTGATGAGAAATTCGACTTAAGCACCATCTGAGTCCTCCAGTGGGACACAATGAGACACATATGGACACAGTCTCAACCGGGATACCACAACAGGACCGGGGAATTTTACAAAGGTTGAAACATCAGCTGTGTGAATCTGTTTCCATGTTCTCAAGTCCCTTCTGGGAAGTCCAAGCTGTGGAGACCCTGAGCCAACACCCTCTTTTGACCCCCAAAAAAATCTTACGTATATATGATGTATACGAATATAATTTGATATACGACATATATATATATATACATCAATTATGTGTGTGTGTTCTATTTAAAACTAAAATATATTCCATAACTTGTTCCAGAAGATGGTTCAAACATCTTCAAAACAACTCGGGAGTCTCAGCCTGGGCACCCCGGCGGCACCAGCGCCTGACGGAAGCGTTGGACGGCCTTGTCGATCCTGGGATCGGTGCGGTGAGGAGCGTCTCGCGTCGGTTGTCGGTCGGTGGAGGGACTGACCCGTTTTTGGGGGGTTCACTGTTTCACCATGCATTGGCCTGCACAACTAGTTCACAGATATTCGTAGAATGGCTCTGGAATGCCATCAGTGGATGATGATTTGATGCCATGATGCCAGACTGTGGTTCCCTATAAATATCTATAAATGACCAATGGCTGGTGAATGGCTGTGGGTCAAAGAAGCCATCCAAGAGAACTTGTTTTAACTGGGGAGAGCCCCTTTCTGGCCCCTGGCTGGGTAGACTGTCTCCATATTTTAATACACACCCGTATGAGATCGTATGAGTATATGATAAATAGTCCATGTGCCATAGATCGGATGAATAGTCATTCGATTGATAAATCATCGGTTCATGCAAGTAACTATGGTTCCCTCTGCTCATGTCAAGGGATGTGCAACCTGGAAGGATGTATTTAGGTCGGACATAAACATGGACGGGATCTGAGATACGTTGTTTGGACTTGGGCCACTTGGGATCCTTTTGTCTGGGTATGTGAGAGGGTCTGCCTTCGAATGTCTGTGGGTCCGTCAGGCATAAGAGCAAAAGACATTGAACGCTGTGGGTGACCTAGTGAAGGACAGGTTCTGCGAAAACGAACCATCTGAGATGGAGTTACGGGTGGCATTCCGTTAAGAGCAAGGTAAACGGGTTCAAAAAAAAAAAGAAGACCGTCTCTCCCACAATCATTGACGTGGAACATAGTCTTTCCAGTGGTCATGCTCCACTTCCATGATTCCAGGGAGTGTACATCCTGCACATGGTCAGACCAAGGACAAGCTGCAGGATGGTCGAACGCCCCGGGGAGTTGGCCCAATCCTTTTCCACACACTAGCTCCCGGGTCTTCGGAAGTTCCTGGTTCTTCTTCTCAAAAACGTAAAAATGTCTCAGGTGCGAGTCCCAAATCCACCTGGATTTACACCGCACCTTGCAGCCTTGCTATGCCTTGTTGCTTCGGAACCCGTTGACCCATTGGACACTTGGACACATCACCCGATCAGTACCATGAAATTGTATGCTCCAATTCCAAGCCTGGCCAAGATTCACAAGTTTCCGTCTTGGCCAGGCATCTGTTTGTTTCACATCTTCCCAAGCCAAAACAAAAACAACTTCACAACAAAAAACACACTTTTTGTTCTGTGTACTTCCACACAGAGTTTTGGGGATTCCCCACCCATCTTCTTCTAGACTCTTAGCAGACAATTTCAACTTCCCCGTCCAAACCTGAAGAGCTTTGACCATCCACCTCTGGAGGCATTCTCATCTTCACGCTCTAAGACTCTAAGCTGCAACTCAACCCCAGCGCCCCGCTCTCACCGGGCTGAGCTTCCCCGGCTGCGCGTCCCACGGTCCCAGCAACGAGAGCGCCAAGGCGATATCCTCCGGACCCGCTCGGAGAGGTTGGAGGCCAGGCGAGGTCAGGCGGGGCAAGAATGGGCTATGTATGCATACCTGGATCTTCCAACTATGCAACATGTCCGCCTTTTGGCTGGGTTTTATAGATGAAAAGGCAAACATTTGTCACAGTTGGAAGATCCAGGTATACCAGCACCCGACTCTACAGGTCACCACCTGCGATGTTGAAGTCTGCAAAAGCCACCAGAGGAGACCTGTTGCAGAGTCCTGGTAGTATTGTTTTGCATTTAGATCCATTTATATACAGTAGTTGGTGTCAATTGGTGTCACAAAAAAGATTCATGTTGATAACCGTTTGAAAGGATTCGAAAGGGCTGATACACTCCGGTCGGACCAGTCGAAGTGGATGGCACCAAAGGATTTCATCATTGAAGGGTCCAGGTCCAGGCCCATCTACTTCCATGATCATTGAGCACATTTCTTCTCTTAGATGTCACCAAAAAAGATCGGTTCCTCCGAGGCTTCTGTATGTTCGTTCCCAATCCTCCGCAATAGTAGTGGTAGGAAACAAGCAGCCATTGCTGAATGCGTTCGCTTGACAATTTCGACCCCCCCGCGGCCCGCTGTCAGTCCCAAATTGTCCGGGTCCCCCACATCGCAAAGCTCGACCCTGCTTTTCTCTGATGAACAAAAACTGTTCAATGATTCAATGCCTAACACCGCGCAAGTCCTCATGTTCCATTTGGATCTAGGAATCTTGGCACCGAGAACCATCCAAAATAACCAGCTGTTACGATCCATGATTCGCCAATCCCTAAATACAATTCAAAGGAACACAAGCCGAGACTGGCTACCTCCATTTTTGTGGAAAATACAGGCTTAACCTGTTCAGCTGTTCGCCTTGTCATGTGGGGAAACCCAGGCCCATCCCCCCAAAGAAATTCAAGGTTACATTCGGTCATCCACTGGGTAGGCCAGCCACCGAACCTGTCATCAACCACAGCCTGGTCCGGCACATGACCCCAGCATCGGCCAAGAGGCATGCACCGTTCGAGCCGGAGGTGGAGTGCCTGCCTCGCCGAAACGTGCGTGCGCCCCGCGTCCTTTCCGAACAACGGAAGGGTCGTCCTGTCGTCGTCCAAAAAATGTCCAAACCGTTTGGCTAGCTGCTTGGACTGCACTGACACGACCCTTTACAGAGTTCTGTGTTGTGCACTCCGGTTTGGCGGGCGGGATGCACAACGACTGTCGCCCTGGTGCCCTGGTGCCTCCAGTGCTAAGGCCGCGTCATGGGCCACCTACCCGAGCGGGATGCACAACGCCGGTGCAGCGGGGGCGAAAAGTGGGCCGGTGGGAACACAGCAACTCGGGCATGCCAAGGAGATTCAGCCCTTTGTTCTCCTGGAATATTGTAGATCACATGAGGGACCCCCGAAAAATATGCATGTGAACATATTCTGCCTCATATGATGTACCTCTCTAAGAAACTATATATATATAAGATACGTATATCATATGATATGATATATGGTCATGCTTGCCATATTATGCCATTGTACCCTAACCATTTTTGTGTGGTTCCTTGTGACTCCACTGTGAACCAGTGTGGGCTTTGTTTCTCGCGTTTCAGGCATTGCACCAAGTTCTGTACCACTTCGTAAACCATTTTGGAGGATTCTTGAAGGTCATGCAGCCTCTCGGCCTAGAACACCTTGCAAGATGCTGGTGAACTTCTGCATTGGATTCATTGGATTTTAACGGATTTTATGTGTTTGCTGCTTTGCCACTTCACAGAACTGCAACTTTCTGCATTTGAAGAACTTCGGCAGTGTCAGCACATCTGCACCTTCTAGAGGGTCGGGTTTTGGCCTCCGACGATAGGTCCAAAGGTATTATTCAACAGCACTCGACTTGGACTCAAAACCATCCAAACCCGTTGTTCTATTTTTTTCGAAAGTTTTAACAGCCAACAAAAACACTTGGCTCCTGATCAAAGTTTCTTGCCGGTGCTTTGCATATCCAACACCTTCTCTGAAGGGACTGACCACAAAAGTCACCTCCTTCACCAAAACCACCACCGTCTGCTTCTTTCAGTCGCTTCCCCCCACCCAAAACTCGCCCCAAGTTGACCTACCCCACTCGCAAATGCTCTCCAAGGCACACGGCCGTAAATCGGGTGTCGCCCCAAGGCGCCACTCAAGGCACAGCCCTTGGCCACCAAACTCAAGGCTCCGAGCTCCTGTCGTCTTTCACCAGTCGACCGCGTCGCAGGGCGTCTTTCGGACGACGGCGGCCGGCGAAGGGTGGCGAAGCGGGCTCTTATAGGGTTCGGGTGTGCAGTGTGTGGAGTGTCAACTGTGGGGAGGTTCAATTCTCTTGGACATAAAAGGAAAAAGCATGCAGGCACCCATGTAGACACCGCAGAGGTGCGGTACATGTTGTTAACTTTTGTTACATGCTTTGGGGCTGTACGAATCTGTTCGAACTCTTAATGTGGGGAGTACATGGCCCAGAGTTCCCGCGGTTCGATTACCTCAAAAGCTTAGACCAGCAGTATGGCATATTTATACCCACATTGGGGTGGTTGAAAAGGGGTCGATGTATAGGCATGTCTTTCCACACATAATAGAGTGGCATGGATCATGCAGCGCTTTGGCCTTTATACCAACTGTATGAGGGACCTGGAAAGATTGCTTGCACACATCTAGGTGAGCGCGTCCAATCCTGGCTGTAGGTAAATGATATCATGGATGTCCACCCTAGGGACTCGTCCAGGCTCCCCAGGGACTCGTCCGCGGGGGTTTCAAGGAAGCACGTCTCTCTTTTCGGCAACGACTCCAAGAGCGAAACAGCTGAACCGGAGAGGCGCTCACAGCCATCCTGCAAGCACGGTGCTTACGCGTTGTGAACCATCGATGCCAAACAAACCGAGGAGCAAAAACAGGGTGGTAACAGGGTGGGGAAGTGAAAGGTGTCAGAGATGTCGAGTTGCCCCATAGGAAAGTGAAGAAAATCTCACACCCACATGGAAGTTGCATGCTTGATTGGTTGGCCATAGTGAAACACTTCTTATGGGTGTTGAGTTGCCCCATGGGGAAAAAGGACACTTGTAATTAATTGCAAGTCATGGAAGTCATGGAAGTCTGTATCTCATCCAACAAAAACTGTTATTTATAATTGCAATGCCCTCTGGCACAACTTGTGCTGAATGATCGAGGAAAGGATCTGAGGAGATTTCTGTGGATGATGTCTACTTACTCTGATCAATTCGGGCAACTGGTGCTTCCAGCCAAGCGAACAGAGCGGAATGAGGGTGAACTCCTGGTTTCTCTGGGGTAGCAATGATTGTGCAGTTGCTGGGTAGATTCAATGATGTTCAGGTTTACTCCTAGCACAGGCGGCAACCGGAATAAGATCTTCAGGTGTTTTTTTGACCTGGGAATGGTTCCCACTTGGTTGTGCATTGGACTAGGGCCAGGGACAACCCAGGAGGCGTTTGACTCTTTTTACCAGAGGGTTTTTGGGGGTCTTCCCTCATGCTATGCTGAAGGTTCATATTACATCAACCAAAACAAATACCGGCTATTCTCGCACCCATTCTTTTGGGGCTAAAATTGCGAGAGCAAACCAAAAAAACGACTGGACCACTGAAGGTTAACGTCCCCTTTGCTGGGCTATTGCAGCTCCGAAACCAGGATACATCCACTGAGGGTCCCAGGAAGAGTTTCAGATTTCCTGAATACCGAAGAAGCGCCAGGAGCAGCCCAGAAGGCTCCGTGAAAGAATTTGTGATATGGTTGACCTGAATCGCACAAATCGACCCAATTTGTTGATTGAGGATATCCTAAGAAGCACTGACCCTCACAGGTGAAGGGCTTTGATATGTTTTGAGTTTTGATCCATTTCTGATTTCTGAGGGTTCAATTTGCTGCTTGGGATACACTCCGCCCTTAGCTATCCCCACGGCCCTCAAGGGCCCGGACCCGAATCGCACTCGAACCAAACCCTCAATGTGTGGCGGACGCGGAACAAGCCCGGATTCTTTGGACGATGATGGGCCTCACATGCGCCAGTGCTGGTGGATGGCCAGGCCGCTGTTCGCTGGGTGTGGTCTTCGGATTGATCTGGTCATCCACAAACCCAGTGTTGTTTGATCTCACGTGGCCATAGCTGTTTGATCTCATGGTCATCCAAGAACCATGAGAACCCAGTTGGGACCCCCGGTTCGGGTGGCATCCACTTCCATGCCCTTTTTCCTATAGGGATTCCACTGGCATCTTTTCAGGTTCGCTACGGGACCCTCCTGGACAAAGGTTGAAAGTGTGGAACACATCGCCTTCTCATGCTCAGAGGGTGGCTGTGGATCCATAGGGGATGAGTTCAGGAAGTGCAAGAAGCCTATTGATCCACCCTGGAAAACTCATCCCCTATGGATCCATAGGGGAAGGGATGAGGGTAGTTACAGTAAGAAGCCTGTTTCCCACCTTCCTTCCTTGGCTTTGGTGTGGCCACCGTGCCGAAACCTGCCATCCGCCATCCCCTTGTTGCGCGCGACGCTCGCTGCATCCGACGTGGTCCTTCAGCGCTTGGCCGCGCGTGGCCAAGGCGGCCAGCACTGCTTGCTGCTTAATCACATCCTCGGGCCACGGCGTTTGGACGGATTCCTTGGAGGTGCAAAGCTTTGCACCTCTTCGTTTTGAGTTGGCTTTCCCCAATCCCCCACAAAAAAAGGTTTTGGCAGTTTATCTTGGATTTGCTTTATTAAGGAACCGCGTGGGAACAGAAAGAAGAACTTAATTGTTCAGGGATTCGCATGGATTCACCCATGAGGGAAAATGTTCAACATCATTCGATCATCCGCAAAACCAGGATCCTGGTGCTCCGTGGATCCCACCAATACGCTCTTCGACTGCTCAGCTTCTGCCATCAGCTGATGAAAAGGAAACGGAGATGTTTCTCCTCAAAAGGCTGCTATAGATAATTACTCTAGATATACTATAGATTGATTCCATCTTTGGGGATCTTTGAAGGAAGATCTTCTTCAAGTAACCCACACTTCTGTTCTCCGCCTTTCTGGTGACTTGAGGCCTAATTGAGACTTTCCCAGTGGCGTGCCTTTTCTCTATCCGGGCGATTGTGTGCTTTCAGATCGGATGTCTAGAATCCATCCAGCAAAGACTGGTCTGACCACTAGCCTCCCGCTAGGTCTGACCGTCTGACCACAGAACCTGAGGATTGACCCGTGGTGGTGGTGGAAGACCGTGTTCCAAAGACATTTCACCCACTGGTCGACTGGGGTGCCAATCTGCAGGGGACTACACTGACCCTCAAAAGGTGAATGAGATTTTGATCCATGGGCTCGATGCAATTTGCGCAACATCACCTGGTTGGATCAATCAGAACACCTTCGACGGTTTCCGGGATTTGCACATATTTGCACCCTTTTTTTGCAGGAGACCCCTTTCAACACTCTTCTGCAATTTAATGGAAGGGAACAAGGATGTTCACCACCCAAAATGCCGACAACATCACACATAAACAACTTCATCAACTGCTGCAGAAGTGCATGAAAGCTCTGCCTGCTTCGAGTTTAGCTGCATGAACACCCGAGTTTAGCTGCACTTCAACTCTTGCCACCCCTTCAAAGTCAAGCCTCCAGCTCCACTTGCCGTTCTGCCACCCAGTCCGCCAGCCGCAGCGTTCGCTGCCACGTTCTGCCACCCACGGCCTCCTTCGACGCGAAGAACACGGCGCCGGCGGCGAAGGCGTCAGTGCGCAGGCTCCGCGCGGCGAGCTGCGAGGCCAACGAGAGGACCTGCGAGGAAGCCGCAGCTCCGGCGCACGGCGCTCGGCGGAAAGGACCCGACTCGGTCCGGTCGCCTGTGGGCGCTATAGGGTCCGGGTCGACTATGGTGTGGAGATCTGTGGGTGGAGACATGTAGTGAGTGGACATGTGTGCAAAGGACACGTTTTTGGGGAGAGGCACAGTCAATGTGTGAGAGGCCTGCGTGACTGGGGACACAGGTTTGTGGCTTCTGGAGATGGCCACTGGCTCCAGCAGAGCGTTGCTTGGCCACATTCACAAATGACATTCACTTTGGTTGCAGAATGTGTGAGCTCGGGCTCACCATGTGTTCAATCAATTGTGTTCACCTCCATCTCTCTGCAAGCCAATTGCAGGTCGCCAATCTCAGACCATGCGTTTACCCCATGAACATGACCCATCCAACACTACTTCAGTACCATTGGGTGGTCTGGGAATGGTCCCCCTGCTTCTCTCGAAGCAGCCCTCCACCGGCTGCAAAGCCCAGCCCTCCTGCAGGTGCACTCGACTGCTGCAGAGTCCCCGCAGCAGGGGGAGACCCTCCACCGAAGGGGACCCTCCACCGAGTTCGATCACAGTCGAAGTCGCTCTTCTGCGCGGGGATTCCAGGCCCGACAAAAAGCACTCAGTGGTTTCAGAGTAACTCGATGGCACAAGTTAGCCCCCAGTTCGGTGGTTTATTCATGGAGTCCTTTACAAAATATCTTGGGGTACGGGTGTGGTTGCGCCATCGAGTTACTCTGAAACCACTGTAGTGCAAGGGACCTCCTGTGAGTGGAGAAGCGGCGACAGCCCACCTCGTAGCCCCTCTGGGCGAAAAACATCATTGGCCGCGCCACCTTACAGCCTTTTGGAACTCCGAGTTAGCATATCCCAGACACTCCATGGATGGAATATGACTACATTTGTGTCGTTTCAAGGGTCAATCTAGGATATTTATGGATATGTTTAGATAGTTTTAAAATATACTATGGAGTCTTTGGAGGATGGATGCATGTGATGCAAATATAACATTATAATATATATGGCTATATCTTTCCCCCACTGGCCTGATGCCAGACGCAGCTCTTCTCCTGCGCGCTGCACAGCGCATTGTATCCGATCACGTCCACACGCAGCTGGCGGGACGCGGCAAGGAGCAGCCTGCGCTGACCGTGCTGTGGGAAAGTGACTTATGTTGTATTACAGTGGTTTCAGAGTAGATGGCACAATCCCCAAAAGGTGCTTTATATCCACCCCCATTTAAAGCATTCTGAAGCGCCCCAATGAATAAACTGCTGGATCTGTTTTCTTTCTTCCAGGAGGTCGTTGCCTGGGAAGTCTCCCTGTTACAGACCCATTTTGAAGTGTTCCGAAGAAGAATTCCAAACCATCCAAAAGAATCCCAAAAGCATCCAGTGTCCTTCAATCTCGGGTACATAACTACTAACAATATATGCCTAAAACCCAGACATGACCTCCGTTTTGATAGGAAGTTTGGCCATGTTTTAGGTGGTTTATGGTCTATAATAGAGGTCACTCAAGTCAAGTTCTAGGTGTATCTATACATGACATAATTAAATCCCTTTCGCAACAAACAATGCACCAAGGACACAACAACACATCATGTGAAGCTACAGGTACACACAACAACACTGCAGGTACACAGACCTCCAAAACCATCATGTCCATGGCGCACCCCGCCTCGGTTCCCCAAGTAAGGGGACCACTGTTGCCAAGGGTAGCCGTCTTCAAGACTGGACATAGCTACAGCACTGCATACTGGCAGACCCAAGGGTGCTGCAACCTGCTGTAGCCGATGACTGACCTCCTCAATCTTCCCTATAGATCATCTGCGTCCACCTCTTGAAGTCGAATAAAAACACTCCCCACTGTACCAGGTGTACCCCAGGTGTACCCCAGGTGATGAACACTCTTCCGTTCGTGAGGTGCGGCAAGAGTGAACGATTCGGGCCAGGGTCATCTCTTCTGTTGTCTTGAGGTCCTGAAGAGTTTGCATTCCGATGCATCGCTTGATGCCGCAGCAAAACACCCCCTAAATCTGTGTGGCAAAAACACCTCAACAAGGGAGGCGCTGCAGTGTATCCATTGTGTTTGGTTTTAGGCCCAAAGTGGACACCTTCATGTGATGAAACGGACATGGTCGCAACATGCCGGTAAACAAACAAACAAAAAACACTAAAAGGCGCACTTCCAGCAACTTTTAACACTACCATAGAAAAAACCGCAGTGTTGTTCGACGCGCGGCGCGCCAGTCACCTCTCGACGCCCACTTGCCACGTTGACGCAGTGACCGCAGTTGCGCCGGCGCTGATGGCGCTGATCGCGGCGTTGTTGAGCACCAGGGAGACTTCCAAGTGATGCTCAAAAGCCCTCAGGGTAGGACGGATGTGGGGCGGAGGAACGATGCGGCCGCTTGGGGTCCAGTCTTGGGACATGGTTCCAGAATTCAGGGGACAAACATGAAAATATAGTTAAACTATATAAACATGATGTTGTGTGAGCTGTTGAGAAGTAAGTAAACATGATCTGAACATAGCAAACCCAAGGAACCTGGGCCTCTAGTTCTTCCAACACTGAATCGTTTGACTCGATTGTATGAAGCCGAACAGAATATGTTACATCCTTTACAGCGTTATTCTCTGTGACACTTGGAAGCCATGCTTCTGGGAACTGATTTTCCAGCACACCTTCAAACAAAGACGTTTCCCAATGTGTACAGTACATCCAGCATGTTATAGCATGTTGCTAGCTCATGTTAGCTCTAGCTTCCCGTACAACTTTCAAGTGGCTGCTCTGATCGGCAATATACTTTAGACATCGCCGAGACCCTATATTCACTTGCTGCAACTTTGTCACTGGGAGCAACAACTGCACAAACCACGTACTTTTCTGACTGGCGATATAGGCCACAATTGCTGCGGCATTGTCAGTTGACGCTTCGGCCACCCTATCATGTAAGCTGAGAGCGCACCCCAGAACACTCCACGTATGCAAGACGTATACTGTACCTACATCGACCCCTGTTCCAACTACCTCGGTGTTGGTCCAATGGAGCGCTGTGTTCCATGCTTGTCAGCCCTCAGTTGGAGTTGTTCATACCTGTTGTGCGGGCGGTCGTGGTCGGCGCCGGCGCCCCTTTTTTTAGTTTTACTTAGTGGTGCCAAGGGGCGCAAGCAACTTGCCGCTCGATGATATTGTCTTTTCTCACCAGATGGTCTGGTGGAAACAATACATGTTAACGATCCAAATTATTTATTAATCTATATATAATATTGTGCAAAAGGAACCGGTGCTCTTCTTTAGTCTTTGTCGAGAAAACGCAACAACTTGGCATATGTTTGGATCTGTTTTGAGGAGGTCTCGAACAAGTTACTTTATTTGGCCAAGACCCCCTAAGAAACAGGAATGTGTGTGTGTGTGTCACTTTCTATCACTCTTATCGTCCCTCTGGTCTCAACTCCCACACATGTGTTTTAATGGCGCCACTCCCAATGGCGCCGCTTGAACCTGGTCTGGGCGCCACATGGTCGGTCGACCGACCGCCCTTGAACCCGGTTCCCTCGGCCTCTCGAGGCTGGCGAGGGCCATCTCCCATTCAGCGCTCGCCTCGCAGGAGCTCAGCACCGCGCTCCTGCGGGAGAAACCGTCCGAAGGAGAAGCCCGAGGGGGTGGAACCGTCGTCCGAAGCAGAGAAGATCGGGTGCGTTTGGTTGCGGGGCGCAGGTAAGAAGGATCAAGAGATGATCAGGAGACTGAAGGGTCAGAGATGAGAAACAAATAAACGAGGAATCAAGTTCATAAAACAAAAACGGTTGCGATATGTTCTGATCATGCCCCCGTTCTGACCCCCGCTCCATGCCACATCGACGTGAGGGACGGCACCCTGCGCCAGAAACAGCGCGGAACGCCAGAAGGAGGCGGAGGAGAAGCCCAAAACACCTGGGCGTCCAAAGCGCCGGGGGCAGATGTCCGACCGGAAAGGACGAAAACGGAGACTGTCTTCAGCTGCGACTGCCAGGCTTGGTGAATCCAACTGATGCACCATAAAGCAGGTTGGAGGCCAGTCCTATTCACCCTAACCCACTGTTTCACGCGGCACGGCGCATCGAGTCCCGAGTCCACCGGGCTCCCCCGGCCGCTGGTGCCCTGAGTCATAGATGCCAAGTCCAGGGCTTCGATCCATTTCTTCGACTTGAAGAAACTGCTGGCCTAACGAGGTCGGTACCGATGAGTCCAGCGTACCCCAAGCATGGTTGGTCAATGAACAACTTCTGCATGGTTGGCCATTGAGATGGTTGCTGTTCGTATCGATGTTAAGCAGTTTGGATTCCCTAGATGGACCAGTTTTTTCAAGTGCAACAGGGAAAGGACTGTCCTTACTGAGCTCATTGAATCACCCTGAAGCCATGGCCCAATGCACTTTGATATCGTGGACTTGGAGTCCAAGAACTTGGAAAAGAGGAACACGCCAATCACAGGGACAGTCACCTGATAGTGATCCCCAAATAGATAGTGGCGAAGCTTCCACTACATGTTTAGTGGGGATCTGATTTACTGTTCTCTTATCTATTTGGTGTTTTCGAAGCAAGCCCCGTCATCAAAAAGGACATGGGCGCCCCTAAAGGACAACCCAGCAGTATGCATTGATTACGCTCAAAAACTGAATGTTTGAGCATTGTTTGTGCAACGTCCGAAAAGAGTTGTGCAATCAGTATATCAACATCAAGAACCTCCTCAAAATATCCTCTGTGGAACAACCGGTGAATGTCGGGAATGAGACTTTATAGTGACAGTGATAAATTGCCAAACCAGCCTCTGCGAGAAATCTGCCCGACTAAGAATCAAACCTCAACCCTTGTAGTGCTGAGAACCTGTTCAATATAAAATGGTTCAGCTCAACCTTTTGAGTCTTGAGCAATGATACACATCCAAGGTTGAGGTTGATTCTTTGGAGAAGTGCTGAACATATATAAACATATGAAGGTTGAATCAACATGATTGGACAAAAGAGGCACAAGAGATTGATTGTGCTTTTGTAGAGAAAATCATAGAAAATCAGTCTATAGTGGATTGAGAGTAGATGGCACAGACCCCAATGTCGGTGGTTTATATGGACCCCCATCTGTCTAGGACATCTTGGGGGAAACGTGCCATCTACTCTGAAACCACTGTATAAAATCTGACGGTCATTTTGAGCTCAGATTCAAAAGGGTTTATTCAGCAAGAAAAACTCAAATTCCCCAGGCCCAGGCAGTGGCTCGCACCAGGTGTCGTCTTTGGGCAGTGGCCTGCACCCAAAAATTACGCAATGACATCTATATAGTCCAAATTAGTCCAAGGTCATCACTCTTACGCACTTTCTCCACCACTCCCGGGTCTTCTTCCTCACTTTCCAAGAGGCACAGCTGTTGTAACCTGACGTGGTCCATCCGCTGGCAGGGTCCCATGTTGGTCCACGACAGCTGGGCTGGATATGGCTGGATGGTCTCAAACTCAGAGGGTATGGGGCCCTCTATCCAAACCGTCCGAAGGTAGGGGCGCCATTGGCCGACTTGGGGTAGCCATGAACGATAGCCCATGGCAGTGCTTTTCATATCTGTTCATCTCCCAAGGTTACAAAGTATGGAGACCTGAACCCGAACATGCGCAAGTCGCTCAAAGCAGAAACAACAAAGGATCTGCAGCATCAAATCCCAGACACTCCATGGGACTGCCATATATGCCGATCAGTTGGGGTGGTTTTAGGGGTCAATGTAGACATATATGCCATACGTGGAGTGTCTATGAGTGTCTGGGAATTCATCAACCTAGAGTCTCCAGATCGTTGTTGGAAAGTTACTGCCCTAAGAATCCTGGGACCCTCCACGGCAGGTGTCGGACCCTCCATAGCAAGGGCCTGTGCGCCGGAAGCAAAAAAGAACCTTCCCAATGAGTTCGGGCCCCCTATGCTTTCGGTGCAGAGAAAACCCCAATCCAACCCAAGAGTTGAGACTTCTTTCATCAACTGCACCGCGGTAGACACCGGGTAGACACCCCATGCATGTTCGTCTTGACGGACCAGTTCCAACCAACAGACGAAACCAGATTCCGGACTTGCGGAGTCGTCAGTCGTGTCCGGATGCGAACGAACAGCCGCGAAGCCAGACACGACGAATGGGACTGCCAGTCTGGACTGCCGAGAAACGGCCAGGGGTGGTTGACTGGGGGGTCAATGGGGCGGCATATATGGCACACATGGAGTGTCTGGGGAACTGTTCTGTTCTGCTTGGAAAGCAGCTCGTCTCAGATGCTCGCAGCTCGCAGCTGCCTGGCCAAGGGAGGTTGAAGAACCCTAGTTCCACTATCCCAAGTAAGGTCCTAGAAGGTCACTTAACCTCTCTTTGTGGGGTAGCGAGCTGCTCCACGGTGCTTGCACGGTGTGCCAAAGACATCTATGTCACGCTCAAACTCGGAAGCGTTCATCGACTGATTTCCCAAAAAGCGGGTTTGCGACCATTGGATGAAGATCTCTGAAATCAATATCCGGTTCTTGGATCCAGTTTTCCACGGAAATGTCCATTTGACACTCCCAACACTGGAACAAGAAATAGTTGGACCATCTGGGTTTTGTTCTATCAATTGATAATATAATCAATCTCTGTGCTTTACAGAGTCTTCCGCTAATTTACACTACTACAGAATCACATGCCTTTTGGGAAGGATGGTAGCTCCTTCTACCCTCTATGCGGTGCACTCCACAATGGGCCAAGGTTGAATCTGTACGTGATGATATCTCCAAATTGATCACTACGCTGTTTCGATATGTTTCGATATATGTTTTCATGTTTTCTGTTGCCTACTCTACTTGCCGGAGTTCACTTCAGGGGATTTCACACACTAGTTCATATTATGTCAATCTTGGTTCAAATTCTGAAGGGCAAATCAATTTCCTGGAAACTGTGTAACCAAACAACGACGCGTTTCCCTTACTTGCGCAAAGTGTTTTCCTACGTATGTTTACCTCAACGAAACACCAAACGCCGTTCAGCTGTACAGTGAACGGGCCGGACTGGGCAGGTGGACTGTGGATCGGGATACCGCGCACTCCCGCGCCTGCTTCGAGGAGCAGCATCGCGGCATTGGCCCAACGAAGAGTCTGCGATTGGTGCGGATGGGCAAACCAAGAGTTCAAATCCCAGGACCTTCAGTACGTGACCTCTTTGGAGTCTGTAAGTGACCTCTTCAGGGACCAAGTGACCTCATTCTGGGATCTCAAGGACGTACTGAAGGTCCTGATCCAGGTCATCCGCCTCGACAGGTCTCCGAAATGGAGGTGCTGCGACGTCTTGTCTGACCATTGGTGACACCGCGAGTGATCGGGTGCTGGGGTGCTGGTGATCATGATCGGCCAAGTGTTTGATGTAGTAACAGTTGATCTTTTCAGGCTAACAACGAAGGTCGTTGATCCAAGCTGCTGGATTCCTCGACCCTCTGCCCCGGCCCGGCACCAGGGGCGTCCTTCTCGCAGGCATTCATGGCTGTGTTGTAGGAGATGATGTCCTGCAAGCAGGGTTAGACGAAACACATTTATTTCAAGGACGACGACTAAGAGATAAAGTAAAAACATGTAAAAAAACAACACCATCGAGATACCCCAAGTTGTCAGACCACTCGCCTCCTACCAGGGTTGGTATATATGCGGAAGGCACGGGTCGAAACCACGAATCGATACTCAGGGTCGGTGCATCGACTTAAGTCTTTTCGTCACTCGGCCAGAGGGTAGCCTTTTGACCCCCAAAAAACTGCGACATGCCAGGACTTTGAGTGGTACGATTCTGCGCTCGTGGCAGGTGGTTTTTCGTGCGGTCCCGCACGAAAAACCCGGTTCTCAGGGCCACGAAACTGATCGAAACTGCGTGAACCGGTTCGATCCTTGGAAAGGAGAGGTGAATCCTGTTGCCACTTGTTGGATCTTTTGTGGGGAAACCAGCCGCCCAAAAAGGGCGGCTGCAGCTTATCCACTTTTCCTGGGTAGGTAAAATGGATGTAAACTGACTCATCGATCTGGTCTTGAAGACCAGGACCAGCAATGACGGCATGTGTTTGCATGTTTTTGGTACTCAATGACGAGTTCACTGACTACAGGAAATCGCTCAAATCACCCAGCATCGACGCAAGGCACCCCAATCTTCGACGCAAGGCACCCCAAATCACCGGGTCCTCGGCCAAGGCCAAAGTGCCTCGGGAGGATGCGGATGGAAATTCAGGACTGGCAGGACGGCAATTCGTCCACGAAACAGAGCTCTGGTGAAACCTCAGATGGAAAGGCAAATAGCAAAGCATAACACTCTACCCTTCCAGTCCTAGCAGCCCAACCAAACCCAGGCAGTCCTTTTCCTGGTCAGGGCAAGCACTAACTTGGGCAATGAACAGGGAGGAGTGCAGGGATTTCACGCGTTCCATCTGCCCAAGCAATGCCATATGCGCAAGCAGCTGCAAGCTAATCCAGGAAGGGTGAGTGCTAGGGCCAGCATGCAAAAGTGCAAGTAACCACACTGTTTGCAAAGTAGATGAAACAGGGTAGTATATTTCATGAGCATGAGTAATGATGGCAAGAAAAGCTGCAAGGAAACCTGATGGATCAGCCTGATGAAGAGACCCAAAGGTAGGGTCTCACATAAAAGAAACCATGGAAACCAGCAGAATTCTATGGCTGGATCGTCCGCGGAATCTTCACCGAATGGCTTCCAGAATCTTCACCGAGATGGGGCTTGATCTGTCACATGGTCTGGGGAATCAATACACGGTCTGGTTGTATACATAGGGGGTAACTTGTGGTCCGATGATCACTGCTTTTGGCATATATTGGGAGCTATACAGAAGGAGAGCAAGCATCCCCAAACATTCCCGTGTTAACTCAACATCTACAAGATGACAAGGACCGAAGGTGCAAACAAAAAATGGTCTTTGCACTTTGGACCCTGGTGGTGTGGTGGTGTCTGCAGATGCTTGCTTGCCCCCTGCGTGTTGGCCTCAGAGATGGGTGTCGCCATTTTCATGACCCACCGTGGCTTACCAGGCCAAATGCGCTCGTTTCCACCTCAAACACCCCGATATGCTGGGCCGGGCCAGGAGGAGCCACGAAACTCGAGGGGAAAGCCCCGAAACTCGGAGAAAAGAAATGAGTCTACCCCGAAAGCCCCCCAAAGCCCCAAAGCTAGAAATCCATAGGAATCCATAAACCATGAAATCTGATGACTTCAGTCATCAATCCACTTGGTGCGAAAAGAGTCCAAACCAGGTGGTTCCAGCCCTGGTCGGAATTGGTCACCCCATGTCACCTCGGCTTTTTTTCTTCCCTGCTGGGAGGGTTTTGGATCTCCCTGCGTGCTGGGAGTGTGGTAGTGTCATCACTATCACAGGGGAAGATCCGTTTGGTCAGACCTTCCCACAAATCCGACTCTGTCTGGAGCAGTCCGGCCATGCGTGGAAGCTGTACAGCCAGGCGGTTTTTTCGCCGATGACAATGGGTCGATCCAAAATGATCGATCCAAGTCTTGTGTTTCTGGAAAAAGATTCCGACTCGTGTTTCGAACCTCTCCTGGGGTCCATCTCCGTGATCATCTGTTTTGGGTGTCACTTCCCAGGTCTGACCTCCTTTCACTGGGTCCAGTCGTCATACTTGTTCTCAAGGAGGTCGCTCGGATGGGACCGAAAACCTTGGGTCGTCCCTGGACCGAGGTGACTCAGAAGCTGAACCACGGACATCCTCAAAGACTCTCAACCAACTCCAGCACCTCGGGTGGAACCTGGTCCGTGCCGCTCGGCAGGGGCGGCCCAGGGTTTTTCACCGATCGGGGGGCATCGATCTGCACCTGCACCCCTCTCTGGCCCGAAGCACCGTAGTCAAACCACACCACACGACAGCACCCAAAAAAAAGATTTTACAGATTGATGACAGATTTTAGAAGTCTTTTTGCTGTTGACTATCTCCAAGTGCCGACTGCATCTCTACAACGACTACCCCAAGTCACTCAGAACTCCTTTTGAGCGAACAAACTCCAATGGTTTTTTTGGTCACCGGCAACACCCCAGCCAAACACCTCACAAAACATAAAGGATCCCAAAAGATCCAATAAGAATCTATCCCAGACACTCCATGTATGGCATATTTACCTACATTGGGGTGGTGCCAGGGGGGGTCAATTGATCGGCAGTCCCAGTGGTTTCAGAGTAGATGGCACTGGCACCTCAGGGTCGGGGGTTGAGAACCGAACCCCCATCTAAACGACATCTTGGTGTGCTAGTGCCATGTCTCACCTCTGAAAACCTAAATCTACCAGGGAGCATCTTCTCTGGGTGTCCTGGCACTACCCTACACATCCCTACACTATTTTCCGGGACACCCGGACAGGATGCTGGTATCCTCACATCCACATCCCACATTTCCCGGCTTTCGGGCGCCGAGAACAGCCGGGAAAACCCCCGGACTGGCATGTTTACCTCCATTGAAGTGGTTTCCAGGGTCAATGTAACTGCAAAAACCTCATCATCTTCCATTCCACATCGCATGCATGTTATTATCCAACCAAGTTCCGTCTCCGAAGTCTCCGAACTTCCACCGGACCCACGGATGCCCACGGACCCAGTGCCCACTCCCCGGCCTCGCCGCCGCTCTTGGGGTCGCCCCAGGCCACCAGTCCTCCTCCCTCGAGCACCGCCGCCCAGGCACCACCAAAGGCACCCACCAGCGTCGTGACGCGGCGGGCTCCCAGGGCGACGCCGCTGTAGGTGCGGGAGCCCCAGAAAAGGACCTGCCAGGATGTTGAATTTGGTGTTCGGAATGATGGGACTACTCTGTTTTGTTGAGGATGTCAAAACAACCAAATTAAGGATGTTGTTGGGGTTTGGTTTGTCCTTGGGAATTTCTTTAGAAGAGACTATGAGGAATACCAGGAATACCCTGGAGGCGCTGAGGCTAAGGGTGGCACGTCCATGTACACCAGCGAAGTGGCGAACTGGTTTCAAATGGATCCCAGACACTCCATGTATGCCACTACATTGGGGTGGTTTTGGGGGTCAATGTAGGCATATATGGCACACATGGAGTGTCTGGGCCATAGGACTGCCGCCCCATTGACCCCCCTGGCACCACCCCTGGCCGTTTCTCGGCAGTCCTATGGCAGTCCCATGGGTCGTGTCTGGGGGAGGGTCTGGGTTTCTCTGGACGAGGACGAGGATAGAAGGAGGAGAACAATTGTTAGAATCTCCGACGAGATGGATTTTCCAGAAATGGGAGACTACTCACTGGTGCGATGAAAGTAAGCAATGATCGGAGTGGAACCTAATGGAACCTACAAAGACTATCTATAGTAGGAAGTCATTCCCTTTTCCTCTACTAAGCGCCAGTCAAACCAAGACCACCTCGCCTCAATCTATGATTTTGGGATATGATAAGATCCATGCATTTGCCCCTTCGGACAAGAAGTGAACGGGTGAGTGCAGCTCAGAACATCCCTACTGAACCACCTCAAATGTGTTGGCTTACCTCAATTTGTACATATTTGTAGTAAGAAAGACTCACCGGGTAGGAAGACGTTCCCGTCCGAGACGCTTGACATTGATGAGTTTTAGATGATCTTTATACCAAAGGACAACGTGTTTGATGTTTTTTTGATACAAATTATCTTTAACCCTATAGGGCTCCAAGTACCTCCTCAGAAGGTATGACTGGACCCTCCTGGCACCCACCCCAAACACCTGCCTGGAAGGTGCTTGGGCAAAAATTTAAGTGTCCCAGGTCTTTGATCAAAAAGTGTCCCCGCTGCAAAGCCGCTGCCTGGCCATCCGTCTTCAGCGCTGCGAAGCCGCGGCCGCCCGCCACGACGTGGCTCACGTCGCAAAGCTGTTCCTCGGCTCGGGAGCTTGTGAGGCAACTGGGTGGGTGCTAGACTGTATGCCGACATATACTTAACTGGGTGGGTGCTAGAGACTGTGAGGCAACTGGGTGGTGTTCATATATACTGTATGCTAACTGGGTGGTGCTAGACTGTATAGAACATATGCTACAAAAAGAGCCATGAGACATGATCTGGATGTCTGGGAACTTTGGGTGTTGGGGCACCTCCAAAAGCGTCCCAAAGAGCAGTCGACTCAAAGAATCGGAAAGATCAGGGCTTGGGTAGTTCGACAAAAGGGAAGTTCGGGAACAGGTTTCAAACCAAATGCGCTTCACCCGGATTTCAACCAAGATGTTTTAGACAGGTTTCAATAGTATGGGGTGAACTGCACCTCCATGCTTAGTGCAGGGAGGGTCAATTCCAGGATGCTAATCCCCCCAAAAAAACGAGAAAAACATAAACATAGAAACCAGGCAAAATAGAAAACTTCCCCAGAAGGATTACCTTAAAGGCCCCAGTCTGGTTTGTCAGCATTGTACCCACTCTCACTTTCTCAGTTCTTCTTCTGACTGGTGCTTAGTAGGCAAGGAGGGAATGGATCCTAAGGAATTACATCTGGGATCATCTGGGTCATTCCCTCATTCTATCCTTCATCACGAGTCGCACCAGTCAGTCTTTTGAGAAACTGGCCAAACTCTCTCCCTTGGCATTCCTTTCGCTTGGTCTATTTCAGGTACCCCTTCCTTGAGAAACTGGCCAGTTCTCTCGCCATTTCCGGCCAGTTTGCTGCTCCTACCAACAGAGGTTGAATGACCCTATAGACTATCTCATAGGTATCCCAGGTGACGGGTCCTAGTTCAGGTCACTGGATACCTCTCTTGGTATGGCCTTTGTTTCGCTCCCCTAGACCTGGGAACGCTGGTGATCCCTCATCCGCTCCGCTCAACCCCTCACGCCCGGCACCTGGAGCTCCTCGTCTGGCTGGCCGCCATGATTGGGATCGCCCCAACAGATCACCCTTCCTTGGTGGAAGCACATCGGCTGTAGCGAATTCGGTTCTTTTGGGCAAGTGGAACGGAAGGTTTGGGAAATGGTTCCTTGGAGGACTGGGAACTATTGGGAACTGATGGATTGGAACATTTGTGACTTTGCGTTTTTGTGGGGGGGGTTGAGGATTGGGAACTGATGGATTGGTTTGTGGACTTTTGGGGTGCGGTCCTTTGATTGAAGCAAAACAATCGGAGCACGACTTGGGTAGCAGGCATCCCAGAAATCTGAAGCAGCACCAAAAAGCAATGCACCCTGGGATTGAAACCCGCATGGTCTTAGTAGCCTTGATTTACAGAACAACCATTGTTTAGCTAAGCTTGCTTGAATATATGCTATGTATATAATATTCGTATTTATAATCCTTATATATATACCCTGGGAGTCAAAGACCATAAAAAAATGGTCTTTAGGTGACCCGAGAAGGAATATCCTTTGCATCAGTCGGTCAAAATATAGTCTTTGGACTTACTAGGGTATATATATATACTGTACCTGCAAGTACTATGTACAAATCCACAAGTCCCCAGAACTAGATCACCTGGCCAGTGCGTTTCGCTCCTGCTACCAAGCCTCCATCGCCCCTCCGCGCGGCGAAGGCCTTGCGCGTGGCCTCCAACTGCACCACATCGAAGAGCTCCAACTGAACGTGGCCTCATGAGCCGTAGACTTCGTTGGACTTCGCCCACCATCCAACAGAGGTGGAACGTGACCTGAACTAGGACCCGTAACCTGGGGTACCGAGCTAGGATAGTCATGGATAGTCTATAGGGTTCTTCAACCTCTGTTGGATGAGCCACCAATTTGAGGAAGAAAAGCATCACAGCTATAGAGACCAACCAGGACCATCCGGACGGGTGTCCTGGCTGGACTACCCCACACGACCGTAATGGCGCACCCCTTTGGGCACCCCGACAGGATGGTCCAGCTAGAGAACTAAGACATGAAAAGACTGTGGTGCTCTTTCAGGCTATCCGAGGTCCGTGCCTACTCGCTAAGACGACATCGGGATGTCGTGACCTCTTTGGAGCTTGTTTCGGCACACAGAAATGTTCATTGAATGGACTTGACGCCGCTTCGACTCACGTCTGGGGACCATTGTGTGTGTGATTCTTTTAATAAGGGTGTTTTCCGCGTTCATGTGATACAACTTGAATTTTGTGTGTGCGCACTTTCGATAACCGGGACTTGTTTGGTGAGGATCCTTCCATGCATATGTAACGATGATATCTTTATATATATAATATTATATACTATACTATATGTATAATATATTTTTGTGTAGTTTACATTTGTCTGGTAGGTGGTTTCAACTCACTTGAAACATATCAGTCACTGGGCTCACTCATCCTAAGTAAAGATTTCAACATCACAATATCTGAAACCACCACCCCAGACGCGTCGATGAGAAGAACTCTCGCAACAAGTTGAGGAGAACTGTGGACGGATCAATCGCGCAGATTGGCCTCACAGGCTGGTAAGGTTTGGGCAACTTGGGCATGTGTGCTGGAACCAAAATAGTGGACCAGCAGTGACGTGTTCCACGCACACATGAAAAAGGTTGGCAAGGGGATCTATACTCACTTTCCTCACTTTGCCCAGGTCCCCTTCCTTCCTTCCTTCCTTCCTTCCTTTCCAGCCAATGGCCGTTGTGTTCTCCGAGCGGCTGCTGTCACCCCCGTAGCGCTGATGCCCCCAGGTCACCACCCGTCGCTCCGCGCCCAGCACCGCAGCAAAGGCATGATCCGAGGCTTGCAACGCCTGCGCCTCGAGGAGTGCCAAGGGGTCTTGAGAGGGGTGGGGGTTGCCAGAGCAGCCCTTTGCCAACGAATCCCTACGCCGAACCAGGTTTGAGGTGGGTTTCATGGGCGCGCTGGCGATCGACACCCCAAACCGGGGGGCCCTGGGATCCTGGTCCAGTCTGATCCTGATCCACCTCACACAACTGGAGCACCAGCTTTTGGCCCAAGGAAGCAATCGGGCGCACTTGATGATTGGAGCCCTGTGCGAAGCTCAAATCCCGGATCCCACGTCGTCTGCAGTCCCGAGTCACATCTTTCAGATGCTCTCGTACTGCACTGCTGTCTCCTCCAAAGGCTTGATTGCCTCGAACAGCCGCATGAGTTGCGCGCAAAAGCGAATCAGGCAAAGATCTTGAAGCGGATCAGCAACACACATGGATTGAATTCCCACAAGCTACATGCCCATCTAATTGGAGGTATTATATATCCATGCAATGTTTAAACATTCTTCCTCAGAGTGCCTTTTCTATTCTCGATCTGCGGCGTGAAACACATCTTTTGGAGTCACAGCCTTATTATTATGTCTGAGTCTGCGGATGTTTCCCTAGTTGTCTGATTATTTCTGATATTCCACGGGCGTTTATACACAAGCTACGGACGTTTATTGGCGAGCCACAGGCGTTCTTTTCCTGAACGTGTTTTTTTCAATGCGGATGTTTATTTATGTTGGTTTCAGTTGGGGATGTTGATGTGAGTCCCAGACCTAAATAAAGGTCTGTTGAACTACCGCCCAAAAAAAAACAACCACGAGGTTGCAGGTATGTACTGATGTACTGAATCGAAACCGAAATGCTGCCTGGTTCCACCCAAAGGAACAAAAACATACAAAAGAAAGCATTACTGTAATAGGGACTGAACACTCAGCCAGTTGGATCACGGTTTCCCAACAACGCCGATCCACCCACACGAAGCGAGCACCGAAACGCCTGACGTGAGGATGCTGCCATCGGCGAGGACCACAGCCCGTGCATATTGAGTGCCGCTCACAGCGCGGAAGTCTCCTTGGTGCCACAACTCAAAATGCGACTGGTAAAGCCTGCAAAAAAGAACCAGTTGATGCTGGTGGATGAAAAGGCAAGAAATGTTGAACAGTTGGCAGATCTAGGCAGGTTAACACACTCATGGCCAACTGGATGTAGTCAGGGAATGATGATGACACAGTCGGACCAAAATCGACTCTGTGAGGTATACCGCTCAGCAGAAGCTCGACTCTTTGGAGTGGTTTTGTTGATCTCAATCCTGAGAGGATCCATTGCTGACTGTTGCCACAAAGCGAGCGGCGAAAGAAGCTATCAGATGCTATCAGCATATAATATAAGCTGTATACACGACTCAATCACTAGTATACGAGTCACCTGAGAGCAGAACTCCAAAAGCTGCTTTTGTTCAGTAAGACGACGACGACGACACAACGACGACGACGACGACGATGACGACGACTGCAACGACAACAACGACATAACGACGATTACTGCTACGATAACAACAACAGCAGCCTATATTTGGTGTGACCGTCTGGCGGCCACACCGCTTAAAGCTTAAGTGTTTCAAGGCATTCACCGGTCCAGGCTGCACCGCGGTGCCTCTTCCAGCCCTCGAGTTCACGAACAGCTTCACCCAAACACTTGAGGGGCACAGTCAATGTGAGAGGCCTGCATGACTTGTTGAGAGACATATGGGGACAAGTTCGTTGCTTTTGAAGATGGCCACTGGCTCAAGCAGATCGGACAGCTTGGCCACATTGACAAATGACTTTGATTGCAGAATGTGTGAGGTCGGGCTCACCATGTCCACCGCCATCCCGCAAGCCAATTGCGGGTCCCCAATGCAAAGGACCATACATCATTACCTTGGGTCTAGCAGTGGATGATAATGATGAGCAAAGGCCTTTCTCTAAAATAGTGATGTTCTTGTTTACAGGTCATAGGACAAACCCAAACGTATCAAGTCATTTCAAGTATGGATGTCTTTCCCAACCTCCCAATCTGCCATCCATGCCATCCCTGCCATATCCTATATCACCTTCCAGGCGCGCTTTCTCCGAGCTGCTCAGCTTCTCTAAGACCTCCTTCTCAGGGTTCCAGCTCCCCCAGACCGCCGTCCGCCCCTCCGCGCGCGTGGCGAAGAAGGCGCCGTGCGTGGCGTCCAGGCGGACCACGTCGCGGAGCGGCGCCACGTCGGGGCCTCGGAGACTCAAGGTGGTAGGAACAAGGGCATCGCTACTAGTAAGTAGCTCCTGGCACTACTACTAGATCTACTATATATATAAAAAGCAAGAGGCTACTAGTAACAAGGGCATCGCGACGAACGTAGGGTTCGGACGCCACTAGTAAGTAGCTCCTGGCATTACTACTAGCAACAAGAAGCTACTAAAGTAACAAGGGCATCGCTACTACAGTAGTAGGAAGGTCATTCCTATAGTGGAAAGTGTCATTACTAGTGGAGAGCGTTGACATGTTTTGGGGAAAATTTGGGCGAGGGCAGCCAGAGCCCTCAAGTTTTGGGGGATGAGAATATCATATCTAATGAAATACACAGGTACAGTATATACACACGTACAGTAAATCAAAGCTGCCAAAACATGTGCCGGGGTGGGTTGCTTCATGCTTCAACTCATAGACAGTGACAGGATGTTCTGGGTTCCTCAGAAGAACTTCTCTTGGTTCCAACTACGGACCACGGCCTACGGCCCACAAACCACCCCCTTGTGTTGTGCTTCAAATTCCAGACACTCCATGTATGGGGTGGCTTAAGGAGTCAATGTGGGATACTGTAGGTAACTATACATGGAGTGTCTGGGAATGGTTAATGTGTTTCCAAAGCAGGGCTCGGTGATCGATCCTTCTTTTAAATTCCAATGGAGCCCAACGTCCAACAAGGGTGCGGTTCAAAACCCTGTAAAAAACCCTTGGGCTGGGCGATTTCGCCTCGAAGTTGGAACAAGCATGAACGAGCGTACAGATCGAAAGTGAACAGATTCCTCTTGTAGGCATGTCAACTGAAATCATGGTCTTGTAGATGTTTGTAGGCTTCCCCACACCCACCAGTTTTCTGCGCGCCAATTCCGCGCGCAAACCGCGCGAACGAACGCCGCCAGTGCACCGATGACGCCGCCGAGTTGTGGGCTGCCCCAGGCAATGACCTTGGAGCTGCTCATGTGGGACCGACCGGAGCTCTAAGAGGTCTTCTATCGGTCTATGCCCCGGACATCACCGACTGGTAATGGCACCCTAAGCATCTGTGAAAGAAGTAGAAGTATACTTAAAAGATCTTAACATTTCAAGGCACCGAAGAAAAATCGGTCTCGAGGTCTTCTTGGCACCCTGCCCTGGTTGTCTGGAGTCCAAGTACACACTTAACTGGGTCGAAAAGGGCACCAAGACACCTTAGACGTCACATCCATCTCAGCTTGGAGACATTCCTCTTCGGTTTGGGGATACCAAGCCCAGCTGGAGGACGTTCCGGTCGGTCCGAAGTTGGGTCGGAACCGGAACCGGTACCGTCCTTCACGACCACGTGGGAACTGTCGAATCCGCAATTCACCATGCTCTATGTGACCAGTATACGTGTGTTGGCCTTACAATGCGTGTTTAAAAAACAACATGTGTCGAACACATCGACCTACATCACAGTGTCGAACACATCACCGTGCCTGAGGTTCGGTGTCTCCTGGATCCCTAGGGATTATAGAAGCTATCCTGGATGTGCGAAGGATCCGTGGAACTCGGAGGTTCAGAGAGGCTCCGAGTCCGCGACCCGAGTGGCTGGAACTCGGAGGGTCCGCGACCAAAACAAGGCTTATGGGCCAAAGCAAAACCCTGCAAAAACCTCCCAAAATGCAGCAGGTTTTAAGGATTTTTAAGGTGTTCAGGTTCCGGTGGGATGGAGGATTCTGGATCTGGTATTGGCTCGCCATTCTGGTGATGAGCGTGCAAAAGAGTGAGTGGGTCAAGTGCAAAGCGCATTTGCAGTTGATTGTTTCAAGAGATGGACTGTGCGTCTGTGCGTGTGACATTCTATCTGGTCATGATCAACCTGGAGCCCCTGATCCTCTTCATCAAGACACCGACCCATCGTCCAGCAGTGCTGCAAACGCTCCAACTGTGGCGCACAGCGCCGTGCACCGTCGGTCGCCAGCTTTGGCCGCCAAGGCTTCAACAGACATGGTACCACCGAAGGAGGGATGGCCCCAGCACACCACCGAGCCTTGGGTGAAGACTCGAGAATGAGTCTCCCCGGTCTTCTCCCCGAGCACTCAAACCTCCAGCTGTGCAGGGGAATCTGCTAGGACGTCTTCCAAAGACTCCAAAGACGAAAAACTCCATAAAACTCCTAAAGAATGTTTTAACTTGTTGCTAGTAGAAACAAGTGCCTCGCTAGTAGTAACAGGTGCCGCACATAGTAGTAACAAGAAGCTATTGTTTTAACATGCTTTACCTACGACCCCTTCAACCACTGTGTCGGACGTCTGGTCGGCGGTCTCGCTTTCTCCCACGATGAACACGCGTTCTTCCCAGCCGCCGTCGGTCCGGAGGGCTGCAAAAGCCAAGCCAGTACATTTCACCTGGGACGGTGCACGTTGCGTTAGCTTTAGGTTGCGCTATAGGTTGACTGAAGAGTGAGAGAAAGATATATAGCATCCATCATGAATCATAAGCTTGAAAGCCGAAAGCCTTTGAATCTCAAGCGGACACATGTTTCACATTCTTCGATGGGCCCAAGGAGAAACGGCTGAAACTCTGGTGACTTCACCCATTTGTTCAAAAGAATATAGGAACCGGCGGGGTTCCAGGGTGTTTTCAAGGGTTTCGGTGGAAGGGCGGAAGACACCGAGGAGAGCTTACAGTACCTGGACCATCCGACCCATCTGGGTGTGGGTCGTCTTCAAAGTCGTCTGGAGATCCCTCAGTGCAGGGCTAGTCCAGCCAGGACCACAGGATGGTCCTGGTAGTAAGTGTCGGAAAGTACTAGGTCCCTAGGTTACAAGGTCTTCTTTCGTGCTGATCTGCTCCACTAAGGTCCACTAAGGTCACTAGGTCTCAAAGCCACTTCAGGAAAATCACCAGTCCGACACCGGTGGCCGTTTTGGCTTTTCGTCCGAACAACATCAACGTACTCCAATCCTCAATCTCCCAGAACCGACCCAAAAGTACATCGATCCTGCGTCCCTTCTACAAAGGCTCTGAGTGTCTTGAGGTCTTGAGTCTTATAGTTTTTATAGGTCAATGTATCCCTTTGATTCTCCTCAAACATCTGACCCCGTCCCACCTGACACGTCCACCGTCTCCGCCGTCTCCACCGTCTCCACGACGCAAGACGCGCCGGCCCTCCCTCCCTGCGGTGTAGACAGTAACGGCACCTCCTTCACGTTCTCCTGCAGCGGCGGGTCCCAGCCGTCATGGTCTTCCAAAAGCGCAGCGCCCCAGGTCACCAGGCGATGCCCCACTTGGAGGCCGAAGGAGGAACCTCAGCCGTCAAGCAGATTGGAGCTCGCATGAGCTCGCTGGCTTCGAATTGTGTACGTGACTGCCAGTTAAATCTATAGTTAATTGATGTTAAATTGTTGGTTTTAAAGGACAACACCCGATCGCCCCAATGGGTCGCCTGGTGAAAATTGTTCGTTTCTTCCAAGGGGAATCGAACTGGGAAGAGACCTCTCCCTACACCATGATACACCCCTCCGACACCCTCCGACATCGCAAGTAGTCCGGAGCCCGGAGGGAGCCCGGTACAAGTACCGTTCAATGAGATGATTCCACATCCCTCCCCAGCAGCAGCACGTTGGAAGCACCCGGTGTAGCACATGATGTTCGTCCCTGGTCTTTGATATTCACATAATGCAAACGTATAGAGTTCCACAAGTCCGCAACGCCTCTCCTTCATGGTGGCCCAAAAGCTAATTCCTGCACGGGTCTTCTGCATCTCAAAGGCTGTGTATTTGGCCAGTCGAGAGAGGGAGGTAGAGAAAGAGAGGGAGAGGAGGAGGAGGAGAAGAAGGAGAAGAAGCAGAAGAAGAAGAAGAAGAACTGTCAGACTCAGAGCTGTACAGTATTTGTTGAAACCACAAATGCATGCCAGATCCTGCCAGGACATGCCAGGACCATCCAGTTTATAGTCACCTGGCTGGACTACCCTCCACGACTTGGGGAACCGTCATGGGACAGCCCTCCTCTTGGATGGTCAAGGTGTGTTCTCTTAACATCTCTTCTTGATTTCTTGCATTCCTCTAAGCTCTTCTGCCAACAATTGAGTTGAACGATGCTTTCACATGTTCCTTTTAAAAAAAGCTAAAAAAGCGGCTCAACCTAATTACGGCTTTATGTCCTGCCCAACCCTACAGACCAACCTCTTCCAGCGAACGCGGTCCCGGTTCGGCTCGTCCGGCTCACGCCATGCCAGGAGGCGGGTGCAATGGAGCAGTGGCGTCATCACACAGGCCTGCACGCTGGCACCATGGTAGAGGCCAGCTTCGTCCAGGTTCTGCCTCGATCCATCGAAACACGAGGAGGCTGGCCGTGGAGGCACTCACGCCAGCGGCGCCGTGGAGGCACGCCGGGCGGCTCTAGCCCCGGAGGTCAACCAGTTCGTTCGTTACGGGTCAGCCGATGTTCGATGCTGACGACAACGCCGCTCGAGCTGAGTTCATTGGAAGATATGAAGACATTTACAGCATGTATATGGTACTCAAGGGGAACTGGAATCATTAGACAAACCTCCCAAACACCTCCTGGGTTCATCCAGTCCACTCAGCCAGCGAGAAAGGGAGGGGGTCCAGAAAAACCGCCCGTGCCCGGCCCATGGCCCCATGGCGCACTGACTTCTGGCCATGTCCGTTGTCTCCGACCGGTTGGTGTTGCGAGACGGAAGGTTCGACCAGGTGCCTCAGATCCATAAAGGTCCCCTCCTCCGTGATGAGCTGGAGAAACTTCTGCCCCAAGACCTCCTGCAGGTGTCCGGACACCCTGTAACCTGGGAGTCTACGAAATCATGAGGAGGCCGAAACGGTGAGTTCGACCTCCTGGAAGCTTCGGAAAAATCCGCCCATGGTCTCCCTATCAAATGAGTTGCCAACAGGACCATCCTTAAGAGGTTTGTTTGTGACCTGCACCCGTCACCTCGGGTACCTACATCAACCCCTGTTGGAGGTGGCCGGGAGAAAGCTCTGGCTCCCCCGCCTGTGCCTTGACTTTGACTTCCTTCAGTGTCTGGGAACGTTCCAAGGCCAGCTCCGCCGCACGCCCGCTGGGCAAACAGACACTGATGGTCCACGCCATTGCGATACCACCGCCAGGTGTGTGGGGGCGGAAAAGGGACGCGGTGCTCGTTGACGTCGAAACATATGGTGTTTCTAAGAGGTGATGAATTCGGGTGAGGGTGATGCTCGGGTGAGGTGATGTGTGGATTTATGGGCGGCGTTCGTCTTTCTGGGGAACTATATAGATTTGGGACACGTGTGTGCTGCGCTCCTTTGGCATGAAACCACTTAGAAATGCTGAAGGATTGTATAGAAGAACTGACGAATGCGACTGTGTGGAAGACGTCCGGAAACATTTGTGTGATTTCAAAGTGGTTTATGTGATTTCTATGCCGCAGGAAACCTCGTTGCAACTTCTGTCGAACCACTGGTCGCTCGGTCTCTTTGAATCGGGGAACAAAGGTTGAAGGGTGAACAAGGAGCGCAAAAAAAGGAATCGGAAGCTCTGCCAAATGTTTGACTTCGTGAAGCGCTGGTGTCTGCAAAGGAGCTGGCGTCGCATGCATTCAGTTCTATGAGAAGCCATCGCGGGCTGCACAACCGACAGGCTGCAGAGCTCAAGGACCCTCATTTGGCAGGTTTGGCCAATGAGCCCAAAGGAGAAGAAACACGCTGCACCAGCTTTAATGTGACCTCTTTAGCTCATGTTTGGCTTAGCACAAAGGTCTTGAAAAAGGCATCTCCCACTAGCAACAGCTCTCAAAGTGCTTGGCACATGAATCTGAATTTATTGCATCACCGCCGAGGTACCAAACATCTGCAGCAATTCCAGCGTGCAGGGCCATGCCACGACGCTCAAAGCGGTGTTGAGGGCAGTGACATCGACACGTAGTTCGGCCCTCCACATCTCCTCCTGCGGAAGAAAACAACTCCGAAAGCCAAGCCATTGCACCTTCCATGGAGAGAGAACAACACATTCAAGAGAGCCCTTCTAAGGCCGGAACACCTCCCCCCAAAAAAAAACAACACACACATACTGCTGAAACGGGAAAGCACAAAAGACACTGAAAAACTGCAGTTCTTCCCTTCACACCCTACCGGTCAGGACCAGGACCTCATGAAGCACACGACAACAGCTTCCACCTCCCTCCACTCAGACCGGAGTCTCCAGGAACATCAGCGCCAGTGGCCAACGATCTGCCACAGATCCACCTGTGAGAAGGCCGCAGCGGATGCCGCTGGTCGGCGGCGTTGGTCGTGTTCTTTTCCTTTTCGTCTTCTTTGCTTTTCGGACCCTCCGGGGCATCGAGCCTTCTTGCGAGCTCCAAAAACACAAAACATTTATCCAACAGTGGTGACATGCTATGCTGAGATGAGGGTCAGGGTCAGATGGTCCCGTCACGAATGGATCCAAAGATTCCAACATGTTGAGAAAGCTTCGGATCCCAAAGGATCCCAGGCAAGGCAGACCCTACACCAGCGACACCAAGGGATTTCGCTGCGAAACGACGGTTTGAAGTCTTTAGAACCTTTAAAAAAAGCAAACCTTGGTTCCCTACCATTAGAAGTGGTTGATATACGTTGACACTAATGGATCCCACTCAAAAAGGATCGATGTCCATCCGCTCACTCCGCTGGTCCCGCCACGCATGAGGATGCTGTAGCTGGCCACATCCCAGCGACCGCCGTGCGCCACCAGAACTCCCGAGTTCGCGCAGACCGTGCGCTGCCAGAAGTCAAGGGCCAAAGGCCACCTGGGCAGAGGGCAGGATGTAGCGGGATGCGGATGAAGCGGGATGCCATGGCATGATGCAAAGGTTTTCACAGGGATTTTGCCTGAAGCATCCTGAAGCACCCGGCAACAGATGTTTCTGCTTGCATGATTGAAACATCTCGATTCATGATAGCCTGCCAGCAGTAGTGGTCATTAGTGGCTGTTTTCCATTGTTTTCCACCACCCTTTCGAAAAACCGACACAGTGACATGTCGTTCTTGACGCAGTGATGTGTCAAGCTTGCTGACAAACGAAAGACTCTAGGGCCCCTCAACTCTTGATGAGAAGAAATCCTTCACCAAGCTCAAAACACCATGCATTATCGTGGTCCATTCGACGCAAACCTTCTCGTGTGCTTCGGACCTCCCCAGCTGGTCATGAAGTCCCATCACGAGATTTCGAGTCGTGGTGTCCTTCTCCACATCCATCGCCGCCTCGTTTTTTCGGGTCACCACGGCGGCTGCCCCTGGAAGTCGACGAAGAAGCCCAAATGCAGAAAAGTGCCCAAACGCGACAGAAACAGCCCTGAAACCCTCCAAAAACCTCAGATCTTGTTTCAGACCCCTATACCAACTACGGAGGATCCATCGAACAGATCGGGCAAAGCAAATTCTTTAGCCCGGAAAAAACACACGAAGCACCGAACCCTTGGAGTTGTCAAACGAAAAAACAAAAAAAAAAACGAACCAGTTCAACCCATCAACAGTTGGACCCATCAACATGCATGTCATGATTCATGTAACATGATTCCAACTTTGACATGTTGAGGGCGTAACTCCCAGACTTCAAAAACATGTTCATACTAAAGGTTCATACAGGTTCATACCCACCCTTTTCAACCGCTTGGACGCATGAACATGAAGTTGGCCACTGGTTGTACCACAATTCGGCTCTTCCACCCTTTTCGACCTCCTTGAAACTGAACGCCGCGACACCATGCAGCTCTCGCCCACGTGCAGCGCGTGGGTCCACGAGCCGGGTCGACCGATGAGGATGTTGAAACCTGACGGGACCAACCGATGCCCTTCGGCTCGACAAAGCCGCAGGCGAGGCTGGTCGATGGGTTTGGGGCCGACGTGACATGGTTTCCAGGTGATGGCGGCGCCCATAGTCAGTTTTAAAAACAAATATATTAAAGGCGCAGCTCTGAAACAAGCAAAAATGAGCAAGCCCTTCTTTGCAATCAACAGATTGAAGTTGAAAACATCTATATATCGTATAGCCTAGTTACCACATTCCTAGCGCCTTTTGCAGTAAAGGGTCCGCCGGGGTCGCGGTACATTTCTCCCGCCGAGGTGCTGACCACATCACGCTGGAGATGCCTGCATGGTGGCCGCAGGGCGCTTGAGACTAGGGACATCCGAATCTAAATATCGACGAAACAGATCCCTAGGGCTCCAATCATATTATCCTCAAAAGATAGTTCGACCCCCAAATAAACCTATACTCTCCCTGGAACTAACATGGAAGTGGAAAACCACCTGTTTGCAGTGGAAAATGGTCTTCCAAGGGGCCATTCTCCACTTCCATGTTAGTTCCAGGAAGTGTAGATCAACCTCAAAAGGTATAGGGCATCAAACAAATATTTCACGTGGTGAGCCTCGTCCGGACATGCGTTCCCTGGAGGAAACGCCAAACGGAAAGTACGAACAACAGAAAGAGAGCAAAAAGAAGAAGGAAAGGAAAGAACAAGCAGCCAAGTCGAGTGTCTTATAGACCAAGGGAGCTCTATGCTCTTCGCCTGTATCTACACAACCCCTGCCCTGCTACATCATACACACCGCGTCTTGAATGTCTTGAATTCCTTTGTATAACCGGTTCTCGCGCTTGTGTCATCTGCAAGACTTATTCACCATATTCATCCTTATATTCCATATTCAGAAAAACAGCCTGCGCTGCCTACCGGGCACCCTATGCCATTGGCTTATGCGATGGTGTAGTGTATGTGAATGGCTTCATCTGAAACAGTCCGCCTTTACAACGTCTCATCTCCGTTCTCATCGGTCCTCCCGAGGAAACTCCTGTGACCCTGGGGGATGAAGTTTAACCTCCGCAGAAAAAGTACAAACAAACAGAACATCCATGTGATTCCATGTGTAGTATAATGGTTGCTTGCATTAACAGCATTCATGGGGTAAATGTCTGCAACTATTCCATAGTGATTACATTAATCTTTAAGGTCATACATGAAGTATGTTGTACTATCCATTATTGTCATATAATATATGGTAATAGTACTATCCATGTGTGATTCCATGTGATTCCATAGTTGCTTGCATTAAGGTCATACATGGGGTAAATGTCTGCAACTATTCCATACATGAAGTGTCTGGGAAAGAATGCCTTTTAGAGATATGATGAGATATGTCATTACCCAACCCTTTCTAAAATGCTTACACATCGAGTGTCCAACCTTTGCTTCCACGAAACCATACGCAACCAATACGCCATGCAGAGTTGTTAGCTTTATGCAACAGCCTGGGAGTTTAATCGGATCACATGACTCTTTCATGAAGCTGTTCAAAACACTGCTCGCTTGCAGCTCTAAACTGAAACCAGCTTTCTTCCATCGGGACAGTCGGCTGGCGGTTGATTTGATGACATCACCCATTTCAACTCGGTCCAAGGAGCCATGTCTCAGCCGTTCGCAATAGTCGCCAAGCTAATGGCCACTCGCGAGCTTGGGCGCAAGTATGAAGGTGTGGCAAGGTGCAACGGAGGGATGAAGTCCTGCGACCGGAAGTGACGTTTTTCAGCCACCAAACCACTGCCACCAAACCTCATGATCGGTACAACTGGACCCTCCAATCAGATCATATCAGTGGGACAGCTGCCCCCTTCTTCTCCTTCAGAGCACTTTCGTGAGGCTGCTCAGCTTCCATGATTGTCTCAGGAAGGGTCATGTAGTACATGTAGACTCTTAGATTAATACAAAAGTAAAAGCTACATGGCACATCTATAAATCAAGATCTTTCACACTCCATGTTGGGAGGGGCTATGTTTTGATTAATCCCAGTCTCTACATTAAAAGGCCTCAACTTGATGGTGCTCGCAACTCACGTGCTCGACCGAACCCCGCCCCCCGCCCATCAGAGACTTGGAACCTCCGTCAGGTCAGAAATGGTTCGTGAAACGTGCCCATCCCTTTTGGCGAAATGAACACACACCTAAGCTGAGGTGTGCACAAACAAGCTTCCACTGTACCTCTCACATTCCCAAAACGCATCCCCAAGTTCTGCCCGAGTTCCGCCCGAGTTCCGCCACCGTCGTCCACTCGGAGTGGTGCACGCCGCTGCGTCCCGTCCTCAAGGCCACCAGGTGCTCGATGGCGTGCTGCCACAGCGTCGCGTCCTTCAAACCTCGCCGTTGCGCAGCGGAGCCACACAGCATGGACGACCCCCGAGGAAACCAGACGTGAGTCATGACCGGGCACCGATATGGGAACATGACAGTCATGGACCCATGGTGATTGAGTCAATTGACTCACCACATGACATGGGAACAACAAATAACTTCGCGTTTGAAAATTGTTGGATCATGGTGTCCAAGAAGCCTTAAAAAGACTGGACCCATCCTGTCTGGGTGTCCTGTCTGGAGATCCAGGGTATAGTCCAGCCAGGACACCCAGACAGGATGGTCCTGGTACACCGCATTTCTTTTTGTGATGACGGTCTACGATGCCCACATCTAATTGTTCGTCCGACCCCTCAGGCCCTCAGGCCCCTCTTCCCTCCCACATCAATCACATCGGAAATCAGCCATGTTTCCTGCAGTGAATCCGTGCCCCCTTTTTCACGAAAAAAAGGGCGGATTCGCTGCAAGACCGGATAAATCCATGATCCTGACCCCTTTGTTCTTGTAGTGAATCCCCGACCCTAATGAAAAACGGCCCAAATTCCCTCCGCCCCGGCTCCCTGACGGGTCCCGGTCTCCGCCTCGGAGCAGCCGCTGTCGCTCCACGTCGCGCAGCGGTGTCGAGGCCAGCGCCGCCGCGAGGCCTCCAAGGGTGAACTGAATATCCAAATATCCAGTATCGTATCTTATCCAAATAACTGGACATGATTTGTCCATACTGGATATGATATTGAAAATCTGGATACGATGTCCAGAGGATCCTGCTATCTTTGGGGCAAATTCATATCCAGGGTCATATCCTTTGGAACATACCATGTGAGGATATATAGTATCCTAGCAAATCCTGGCAAAACAGAAAATGATACCACTTTTGCAGGGTCCAATGACCTGCTATTTGCGGACCCGAACCAAGCCTTCACGAGGGTCCACGACTGGTCCATGATTCTTAGGGCAAAGAACATGCCAACTTGAAAGACTCCGGAATTGGAAGGGTTGCCTACCTTGACCTCTTTTCAACCACCTGTAGATGAATAGTCCGTAAATATTCATTCATAGTCCACACATATTTATATATATATATATGTATTGGATCTGGTCCATAGATCTTCTTCCAAACATGGCTGGATGTCGTGTTCACATGGGGGCCCGCTACATATTCTTTACTTTTGGCACACACAGACACACAGCTGGTTGATGAAGGAAGCACGGACCAAACAAGTATTGGCACCAAGTTGTGAGAGGTGTCACTAGCGCTCTCAGAGGAAGTTGAGCCATTGCTGTCCGAACTCCATGCCTTTTCAAGCAATTGAAAAAAAAGACTTGTTGCAAGTGAGCTTTGGAAGGGTCCATGCTGGAATCTGACAATGTTTGCTAGTGCGCATCTAGCGCAGTGCTAGCGCGCGGCTAGCGCATTTTCTAGCCAGCTACTTTCCAAAACCTGACGACCTTCTGAACATGTCCTAAGTCAAACACCAGCGCAAGTCTACCGCAAACCTAGCGCCCAGCCGCAGATAGGTGTGTTT